TGTCCAACTTTCACTTACATGTGAAGCAATGGCAAAGACCCTGGCTTGGGTCAGGCGCATCTTAGTCCTCAAAGTAACATCCTTGCGTTTTAAGACCCCAGAGATGTCTTGTGCAGCAGAGTTACCTAACGCAACGTGTCTTTTGGTTGCTTGACTTGCTGCTTCCATGCTCATTGATGATAGATCAAGCAAGACAAAATCCCGGACAACTTCAACCGTTTCTCCATTTGCATGCTGTTACCTAATGGTCTGGTTGTGAGGATGTTGGCCTCCTTTACATTGAGTTCTAATCCATAGTGACGGCTGCCGTCCTTGCTCGGTCTTAATCTGCAAGGGCTTCAGGTCCTCCTCACTTTCAGCAAGCAAGGTTGTGTCATCTGCATATAGAAGGTTGTTAATAAGCCTTGTGTATAATATAAATTGTTACCAACTGAACTGCAGTAACAGACTAGAAGACCCAGGCCTATGTCATCTCTACCCCCTCACCCATTTGGTTGTGGTCATCACTAATAACGTCTTGATATCTTAATGTACCTTGTAGCCTAATTGCCTCCTAGCTTTTTATAAACTGGCTGCTTTTTATAAACAGTGCTGACTCCTAGGAGCCTCCCCACCCCCTGTGGGTTTCCAAGACTGTTTATTGGAGGAGAAGGTCCAGTCTTTCTCCCAGGGAGCTGCTGCTGGTTTGGGATGTTTTTTACATTTGTTATTAAAAAGCACAGGGGTCAAAGAATCATGATTGTGAACGATGAATACCTATGACCTGCTCTTATACTTGTTCATACACTTCCCCTTTTTTAGGCCTTTTTTAAAAAAAATCCTGGCTTGAGTAACTTTCTAGGTCTTTCCCATTCCATCTGCAGCACTCCCATGATTACCTTTCACAGAGCGGGTCTAGTGAATATGGATTCTTGCAGCCGCTTCAGCAGTTTGCGACAACCTACCAACTAAAAGTGCCTGGATGAGTGAGCCACGTGCTGACACACTTCAGTTGGAGCCCAGTGAAGGTTTTCCATGTTGCTCTAGGAAATCGTGCCCTCGAGCCCCCTGGCAGATTTTTGGCTGTGAGCACAATCTCCACTCAAGACACCACCTTTCTAGCACATAGCAGCTTTCACCAGTCGTTCTAACTATTGACCAGAACTGGTGGTAGGCTAAGCCAAATTGACACCTAGGGAGGTCTGTCCTGTTGATTTCAGAGGCCTGAACTGTAGGATGTTTGGGGTGGAAGGTAAATGCTGAATGTGGGAACTGGCTCCACTCAAAGGTGCCTTCTCTAGCAATTTTCCGATTTTAGTTAATAGTGTCAGCTTGAGGGAGGGGTCATCCTCTGAAGGAGGTTTGGCTTATTGCTATTATACCGTGTGCTCACACACACTAGTTTTATGACTAGGTGTGTAGGATCTACATAGAAGTTCTGCTTCATAGCATATAGCAACATCTTGTCCAGATCTCCGTAAGAACCAGAGGGGAATAAACCTGGATTGGTGACAGTGGCCTGATGCCGTTGGGGTGCACAGGAAGTTGGGTAGAGTTGATTATCAGAAGTGACTCCACCAAAGTGCTTCTACCACAATAATTTGATCCAGCCTTTTCCCCCCCTTCATTTTAATCATTTTATTGGGAGTTCTTAAAAAAATCTTAGAACAATCCATACATCAATTGTATCAAGCACATTTGTACGTATGTTGACATTGTTTCGAAAACATTTTCTTTCTACTTGAGACCCTGGTATCAGCTCCTTTTTTCCTCCTCCCCGCCCACCCTCATGAACCCTTGATAATTTATAAATTATTTTTATTTTCATATTTTGCACAATCCACTGTCCCTTCACCCATGTTTTTTATTTGTCCCAAACCCTGTGGGTGGGGGGGAGGTTGTATGTGGATCATTGCAATTGGTTCTTGCTCCCCCCCCCACTCCCCCCGTCCCATGGTATCTCTGCTTTTATTGGTCCTGAGGGGTATCTGTCCTGGATTTTGTGTGTCCAGTTGCTCCCGCCTTGATGCTGACAATTTCCAGCTGGGATTGATGCTGCCATGCTCCAAATGGACTTCCAGGGAGGTCTGCCTGTTGATTTTAGAGCAGTATCTTGGGATCTCTTAGTACAGGCAGTGGATGTGGTGGTTAGAGCATTTTCCTCATGGGGAAATGGGGCAAGATCAAGATCAACAGCCCAAGGTGATTCCTAGGAGGTAGAACTCACCTGCCCTTCACCATGCAAACTTTTTACCGATTTGGACATGCAACCTTCCCTCCCATGGCGCCCGTATTTCTCTGCTGGTTTTGATCATTGGCTCCAATGGTCACACAGAGCTCATAGACTATACTACAGATTATGGGATGTAATGGTAAGTACCAGGTTATCGTTCAAGATCAGAAATGAGTCTTCAGTCAAGAGAGCCTCTTTTGTCAGAAAATATTTTCATTAGTGATACTGAACTGGGAGTCCAGAGGTCAGTATTCATGATAGAGAAGGGGTTGACAGAAGCCAAGGCTGCCTTGACAATGACTGAATGGGAAAACTTTTACTCATCATCAACATGATTCCCGTAAAAAAAGGACGGGTCCTCTCCACTCGAGAGATCAATACAAGTTAGAACTGCAGCGCAGACGTAATCCAAGAAGAGGAAAACCACCGGTCCACAACCAGGTCCATCCCACCGGCTGCCTCCCTGGGCCAAACTCACCCAACCTGGGCGGGGGTATGGAGGGGCGGGTGGGCAGCAAGCCTCCTCTTAGCAGGGCCCACAGCCTTTCAGCCTCTGCCCTGCTCGAGCAAGGGCTCCCAAAGCTCTTTAACTGCTGAAAAGTGCCCAGAGGCAACCCATTCCTCCAGTTCGCCTCGGCCAGGTCCAGACTCAAGTCTGGATAATTCCCTTCAAAATATGGTCCCGAAGCGGCAGGCCCCCCTGCCTGCCCCCCAAACAAGGCCTTTGCAATTCTCAGGCACCCGTGCGTTTCAATAACAGGGTCGAAACCTCGTGGTGCCGTCGGGATTTTACCGATCCCCGGGAGAGTCCTAAAGAGAAGCCTACGGGGCGCTCGCACGAAGTGGGAAGGGTCAGCCTAGGGACCCGGCTCCGCAGCCGCAGAGGCGCGGC